AGAGTTGTGTGAGTCCCAGGTCAACTTACCCTTTTCAGTTCATTTACTCAGTTCACTGTCCATTAACTATCAAAATTGGAAAGGGGTATATCATTAGATGGCCTAGGTGCCAAATATTTCCTTCCCTGTCCTATTGTGTAACTCTGGAGGAGCCCTGCCACCTCCGATTATAAAACTCCTTGAATGCTGAACTCTGGAAATAAGGAGCCTAGTTTCCCCCTGGGAACTAGGACCTTTAGATCACAGAGCCTAAAATTCAGGGATGGGAAGCACACATGTTCAAATTGGGTCAATGGGAATGATGCTAAGCCTAGTGGGTTTTCAGATTCATATGTTCTACTTATTGGTATACAACACCATGTAATGGTTGTTGACCTAGGGTGTATGCTGCATCCTGGAGGATGGCCCCTCATTTTCATAGGACTCCTCCATCTCTTAAGTGGAGAAAAGGTGCCGTTGCCCAGTTCAGGAAACATAATTATTTTACTGAGATTGTTCTTAATTATGAAGTCAAATTGTTTGCATTTTAGATTCTCCTATCATATCACTTATTTGAGTCTCCAAACATAGTATTCTATTTGATCTTTCTGATCTTTTCCTAAAATGGAATTTCCCAGTGAATCTGTCAGAATTTATATAGAATTTGCTTTTGCTACATTTAAAGTGTACAAAGAACTATTTTTCTCATGTCCACATTTCCAAATAGTTCCTCTATATTGATTAGAATTAAGTCCAAAATAGTAATTCACCTCATTGCTGATTCGGCCATCTAAGAGAATATTTTTAGCAAGTAAAGAGTATACTAGCTTTTTTAAAGAAAAAGCTCTTTAATAATAACTGAATAACTGAAGACTTTCACTACTTAACTTTATTATCATAATCTTTATTAAATAAAGCGTCATCCATATATTACTCAGGCTAACAGTCAATACCAACTTTTTTCTGCCTTAGCCTTTGTCTTTTTTCCTTTCTTTATCCTAAATGCTCTCTCCCCTATGCTTTTTTTCTTGAGTTAACTTTGGAAAATACAGTCTGGGGCTGTTTTTTCTGGGGCTCTTCCCCTTGTATTAAATTTATTTATTGGGGTATTTTTTTTGTTTGGTTTTTTAAAAATGGAGGTACTAGGGATTGAACCTAGGACCTTGTGCATACTAAATGTGCATTATCACTGAGCTATATCCACCTGGCCAAATTTATTTTAGCTCTGTACTTAAATTATCAGTTCCAGTCCACAAAATCTCAGTGATATTTCTGAGGTATATTTACTATCTCATATTGAGCTTTATTCTTTTCATTAGTGCTATGTATACACTAGAGAAAGAAAACAGTATTTTAATTTTTCCTTTGTAAATTTCTTTTTTTTATTCTTTTGTTGCTTTTTAATTTTTTTTCAGTTTTTACACTGAAGTATAATCAGTTTATAATGTATCAATTTCTGGTATAACTCATAATTTCAGTCATACATATACATACATATGTTCCTTTTCATATTCTTTTTCATTATAGTTGACTACAAGATATTGAATATAGTTCCCTGTGACATACAGTATAAACTTGTTGTTTATCTATTTTATGTATAGTAGTTAGTATCTGCAAATCTCGAACTCCCAATTTATCCCTTCCCACCCTCTTCCCCTACTCCCCCCAGTAACCATGTTTGTTTCCTATGTCTGTGAGTCCCCTGTAAATTTCCCCAACCCTTCTCTTTCCACTGTGCTTTTGTTGTCACACTTGTCATCCATAACATCTCATTTTACAATTTAGGGGGTTTTGCCTCAGTTTCTGTTCAAGCCTTATTGATCATGTTAAGTAACCAAAGAGGTATTTCTGACATTCCTGGAAAGTGTGTCTCCCTTTCCCAACTTTTTCACATTTGTGACTGAATCCTATTTTCTAATACCATCTGTATAGCCATTCGGTTCATTTTTCATATCCTCTTATCTACTCAGTAGATAAGATTTGAACTGAAATAGGGGTATACAATACAGCTTATGCTCCCAACACTCTATTTCCAGCCCAGGACTATAAAGTTCACTAGAAATACAAGAGGTTTCTTGTCTCGTTCATTCTACAACAAATCAATAGATACCTGACATGATTTTGTCAAGCATTTGGTTAGAACACAAAATATAGAAGCAAGCACAAGTAATTTTCAACATTTGTGAACGAGATGGGAATGATCATCATCTGAATATGAAGTCCATAAAAATCTACAAATAGAATCAAACCTCTCCCCAATATACAACCTAGAAGATGATTTGTGATTTTTATATGATGAGACTAGTTATCCTGATAAAAATCTCCATCAATTCTTCCATTTCTCATTAAGGAAAAAATGTAACTAAAATGAGGAACACTCTTGTACATTTAAGTGTCATCATAACTAAAGAACAATAATTTATGTGCAGTTTGAAAACTGGAAAACTTATACCTCAAGTATAAGAAATCTGGTGTTTTGGGTCTGTTGATGTTTGGGGTCAGGATATTCTCATTCTTATGCTTCATGTAGGTTAATGAAATGAACAAAGCTTTGGCTGCAAAATCTGATTAAAAAAATTTATTTTGAAAAATGTAACATGCTCCTGGCAATCTTTTTCCTGCTCAGCTTTACTGAGATACAATTGACATACAAGAAATTGCACATATTTAAGTATACAATTTTATGAATTTTATGAATTTGACAAGTATACACTTGTGAAGCCATCACCATAATCAAGATGGTGAATCTATCCATCACCACAGAAATTTCTTTGTACTCCCTTGTAATCCCTCCCTGTCTCTCATGCCTGCATTCTCTACCCCTACCCGAGGCAATCACTGATCTGTTTCTGTTACTATACATTAGTTTTCATTTTCTAGCATTTCACACAAATAGATTCTTTAAGTATTTATTCTTTTTTGGTCTGGCTTCTTGTATAACTATTTTGATATTCATCCATGTTTCTGTATGTATCTTTTTTTTATCACTGAGTGTTATTCCATTCCGTGGATATATCTAAGTTTGCTTACCCAAACCTTTGATTTATAATCGAGCCATCTTCAAGGAACTTGTGCCCTCCTATAACAAGGCTACCATGAAATCTCTTGTCACTGGTAAAATTGATAAAGTTACAATTCTTTTTCTTTATCTTTTTTCTTTTTTGAAGTATAGTTGATTTACCATGATTGTTTCAGGTATACAGCAAAGTGATTCAGATACACACACACACACACACATATATATATATTTTTAGATTCTTTTCCATTACATGTTATTACAAGAAATTGAATATAGTTCCCTGTACTATACAGTAGGTCCTTGTTGTTTATCTATTTTATTTTAACCTTTTTAAAATTGAAGTATAGTCAGTTTACTATGTTGTGTCAATTTCAGGTGTACAGCATAATGTTTCAGTCATACATATACATATGTATATTACTTTTCATTGTTTACTTTATATATAGTAATGTTTATCTGTTAATCCCAAACTCTTAATTTATCCTTCCCCTGCCCTTTCTCCTTTGGTAACCATTGATTGTTTTCTATGTCATGGGTCTGTTTTTGGTTCATAAATAAAATTTGTATCATTTTTTTTCAGATTCCACATATAAGTGATGTCATATGATATTTGTCTTTCTCTGTCTGACTTACTTGACTTAATATGATAATCTTTAGGTTCATCCATCTGTGGTGTACATGACATTATTTCAATCTTTTATATGGCTGAGTAATATTCCATTGTGTGTGTGTGTGTGTGTGTGTGTGTGTGTGTGTTTGTTTTTTTCTTTATCCAGTCATCTGTCGATGGACATTTATGTTGTTTCTATGTCTCAGATATTGTAAATAGTGCTGCTATGAACATTGGGGTGCATTTGAATTAGAGTTTTCTTTGGATATATGCCCAGGAGTGGGTTTGATGGATCACAGGGTAACTCTATTTTTAGCTTTTTGAAGAACCTCCGTACTATTTTCCATAGTGGCTACACCAATTTACATTCCCACCAACAGTGTAGGTGGGTTTCCTTTTCTCCAGGCCCTCTCCAGTATTTATTATTTGTAGAGTTTTTAATGATGGCCATTCTGACTGGTATGAGGTGATACTTCATTGTAGTTTTGATTTGCATTTCTCTAATAATTAGTGATATTGAGCATCTTTTCATT